AAGCTCATCTTGACAGCCTTGCTTGAAAATATGGAAACCAAGCATATTGACGGCATCATATGGTCTACTCGTGGCATTCGAGATCTATTCCCTGATATGATTACCACTCGATCTAACACAACCTACGATATCAACAGTTTCTTCACAAACCCTGCTGGCAACTCCAACATCGCCTTCACTGACTGGGCACCTCAAGTCGCCATTCTTCATCATCCTTCTACTTGCCTGTTCATCACACACGGTGGTGTAGGCTCCTTATACGAGTCAATGCATGCTGCTGTACCTGTAGCTGTATTCCCCTTCTTCTCTGATCAACCCGCTAATGCTATAAATGCTGAAGAGCGTGGCATTGGCCGTTGGTTTAAGCGAACACTGAGGCAAGATCAGGCAACTGAATTGGTGAAGGATATCGTTGATGATCCCACAGGCAAGTACAAACAAAACGTTGGCAGGTTCAAGGCACTGGTTCAGATTAGAAATGCGCGCGGTAAGCAGCGAGGAGCTGATCTGGTAGAAGAGGTCATGTTTACCCATGTGGATGGAAAGATTGAACAGAGAAGGGATGTTCGTCGAGATCTTTCATTCTTCAAGGCAAACAACTTGGATCTGTACTCATTTGTGTTGGTTTCCTTGGTTACATTTGCTTATGGTCTCTATCGTCTTGCCTTTGTCCTTTATTCTCTGGCTTTCAATACGGTATCTGTTCCAAAGATGAAGTTGGATAAAAAGCTGAAAGCAAATTGAATTGTTTACTCATGTATAAAATATTTATAATTTTCAAAAGGGATCTTTTATTTTAATAAATTACCAATATAATATATCATTAGATGGCGATGCTTTAGATGCCTGGTTGTTATTACTACTTGACTCAAATGATGTTCTAGGATCTAATGAGGTGGGAGACGATACGAAAACAGGAGTCGAGGATGAATTTGTATTATTGCCATTGTCCAAAAATCCAAGCAGTACACTTTTTGAAGGCGAGCTTGGCAAATCTAGTGAAATGCTGTTGCTTAGCATAGACGATCGCGCTCTTGATTCAGTCTTTGGCGTTCCAGCCATAAATGGAGATGAAGAAGTGACCGGAGAAGAGAGATCATCTGTGCTGGAGAGCAAAAGGGATGCTATGGGCGCATTACTATTGTTGTTATTGTTGTTATTTTGCCCAGTAAGATACCCAAAGTACGTATTCCACGCATCTGTATCTAACGAGGTTGGCATACCCCAAAACGCCGAAGACAAAGGATCAAATGGCGCTTGTGGTTGTTGTTGCTGTTGTTGTTGTGCTGGATTTGCCATAATTCCTGGTGCGGCGAATGGGTCCATAGCTGGTGTGATGTCCAGAAGAGAAGATCGTTCAGGTGATGACGACTGTCGACCGTTCGGATCACTGGATGAAGGTGATTGCGACCGTCGATCACGCACAGAAGAGATAGGTATCTGAGAAGTTGAATTGAACAAGGGAAGGCCCATATCTTTCGGATCACTCCATTCCTTGTCTATTTTCGATTCAGACTCGGTGCCATTTTCCGGTGAATTGGGCACAGCTATAGCTGGAGGAGGAGTTGGCTGTTTGGCTTCCTTTTTCGGCACGTATTCGTTGCTTTCTAGTCTTATATCTCTCAATCCTGCTAATTCGCCCAAGATGTTGCTACATCGAGCAGCGTTCATCCACGTCGTTTCGAGCTCATCCAGTGCCTTCATTATTTTATTGATATTGATCTTGGCCTCAAACGCATCATAAGGGTCTCCAAAGGACGCTGTCTTGATAAAGATGATACCGGCTGTAAAAACGAAATAAACTGCAAAATTGTAAAGGTATCTCAGGTGATTTTCTTCCAACATGATGTTGACAATGTCTAATATTGATAATGCAGCTGAGAGACATATCTTGTAGCATGGCTGTGACACCAAGGATTTGGACTGAGCTGGTCCTGGTATAAAGGATCTGTGTAGCAAGATAACTGTAGTGTAATAGATTAAGTGTAACTGACAGATAGGTGCAGGAGGGTCTGGCCCCTTTTCACCTATCTGCGTATTCGGCAACTTATACTGTAGTGACATAGGCAAGTTTTGGTGCCACCGAGTCAATTGACGACTGAGAGTTGTTAAGATTTGATCTGCGTACTGTGAAGACGTGTGTAGTTTGGCTTTTGCATAATAAATATTTTTAAGTACGTGGCCAAGGATATCGCATATCTTGATGCTCTGAATAAACGTTTCAAGCAGACTGGCTGGTGGTCTAGACGGTTCCTTACTGGACGTAATGGCTTCATCGTCATCTACAGAAGGGAAAGGCGCATCACAATCTTTTTCTTCAAAGTTGGACGATCGACCGTAGACTGCACTGATCAGTCTGTCGACAATAAAACAACACCAAAACACACGCTTTCGGCGCTCCCTGTCTTCAGGTGATATGTTCCAGTGATCACAATTACGATTCAAACCCAAGTCCTGTGCCATTCGAAATGCCTGTAATACAGATCAATATAATTGTGTTTTTGCTACCAATAATGAACTTACCATACCACTGTACAGCCATGCTCTTGCCGGTTTCATTGCGCCCATCTGGTGACTTGCTAGTAGCAACAATGCCTGTACAGTTGATATCTTGGGTGTGTCATAATAATCATCTAGCAAGCAGCGCGCTCGTTCAAAAAAGACATCTCCTGCCGTATCGGGAGACGCCAAATCAGATCTCACACGAACGTCAGGGCTGATTCTCGAAGCTACTGCATAGATTGCGTTCAGCAAAAGAGGAGATAAGGGCTCTGATGGGCAGCTAGGGCATGTCAAGCGCTTTTTATAAAACATGGGAAGCACTGGATAAAAATGAAGAAAGTATAATTGAATGAGGTGTTCTGATAGATCCTGTGGTGGCAGCTCAAATGGATCCACAGGATATTTCTTCTTGGCTGATTCTTTTGTCACCTTGTGCTGGAAACCTGAGAAATGAAAGGCACCATTTTGATACGTTCTACTGTTGGATAGCAAGTAGAACCCTGAGGATTTACCGAGGTATCTCACCTGGCCTGTTTCGTCCATGGTAAGCTGTCCCGCAGCATCGTCTTCTTCAGTAGGTGTTTCGGGTATATCACTGTGACTCAGTGTAGGACTTTGAATCAAGGGTGGACTATCTGATTGATGATGATGCTGATGTTGTTGCTGTTGTTGCTGTAACTTGTTGCGTTGCCTTCTACGTTGTGGTCTCGACTTTATCTGTTCACCAAAAGACGTTTCTAACGGAGATTGTAATTCTTGTAGTATTTCTTTCAATTTTGGATCTTCTTTGTTATCTTTATTTTCTGCAATTGTTTGTAAATAACCTTCTAATTTTTGTAATCGATTCTCAATAGCTTCAATATACCCTTTTGGAGGACCTCGCTATTGATAAATAGAATGAGTTTAAATTCTACGTTTATCAATGACTCACTTTTTTCGTTGTATCCTTGTAAGTGCATTCTGTATCAAGTTGCTGACAATTATTACAAATAGGCAATGTTCCATCGCATTTTATCTTCTTTTTTCTACATATGTCACTATGAGATATTATCAGTATGAGTAAGGTTAATACATTCATATTTACCATGCACGGCTTACTCTCTGCCTTTTACTTTGACTGCCTTCGTCATTACTAAGCGACATTTTGAATTTCGAAGGAAGAAAAAAAAAGGTTCGATTTATCCGAACTGAAAAAGACCTCGTTTGAGTCAGAAGATGAGCAAACTGCAACCTAAAATCTTGAGCGGATTTTCAACAAATGAAAAATTGCTTAGCAAAAAGGTCAAAGGCAAAGAATTCCCTTTTGCAAGGGGACTTGTAGTCCTATTTTTAGAGTGATGTTGTAACCAAGGAATAAAGACTAACGATAAAGAAATAACGCAGCACATTGATCAAAACATGATGGAATTATTCAGCGCTTTATATTCAAGAGATAAAAAAAAAAGACTTGTAGGATTGCTAATTTCTGCTTTCTTGGAAATTGTTTCTTTGGCTGCCTTTATGCTTCTTAGTGATTACTAATGTTCCTTTTGAAGGATTAAAGTCATATATTGAAGAATCAACTTCAGGAATCGCACTGTCTTTATCGAAGCGTAAGCTTGAGGCTACATGAGCATTAAAGACCATGGTATCTGTGATGAGTTTTCTTGATCGGTCCTCTATTTTAAAGACAATTTTCACTCCCTCATATTTGTCTGTAAAATTGGATGTGCTACCGTTCATAAACTTTGTTCTAAACCTTTCATAATGAGCATCCATGGACGGCTTTCTGTTGTATAGCTCAATACAATTTACAAGCAGTATCTGTATCGCGCCTGCTAATAGCTGGCCACTGACAGTCCAATAATGGGGCTTGTTCTTCCAACCTTGGTTGTGATATCATTAATGAGTAAAATGGTTTTACCTTACAAATATAAGAATACGACAAGATGGGATAAAACTTTTTATGAACAGAGAAAAGAAAGAGGTTCATGATAAAAAAAAGAAATCGATCTTTAAACACAAGAATAAATGTCAAACAATTACATCTATAAGCTATGATTGCTGTGAATCAATATTGTAGGCTTAATATGAGGTATTATGTTAATATTTAAGATGACTTTAGCTTGTGTATGAAATACATTGTTTATTTGACGACAAAGGCTGTATAATCTTCTTCGATATAAAAGCAGAAATACGATTGTGGTTCAGCACTTTTAGCAAAGAATTATTTATTTGTTCATACTCTTGCTGTCTCAGTAATCCGGAATACTTGGAGCCTTCGAGAAAGTGATGCAGGTAGTCTTCTGAAAAAAGTGTAGATTCTCTATTTTTTTGATTGTTTCTTCACCGACTTCAAGTCCAAGAGTGACTGGAACACCCCAAAAAGATGACAATGTATGTAGGTCGTCTTTTGATACGTTGATATTGACAGAGGTGCAAGAATTGCTGGTTTTCAAGGACAAGAAAGTGCTTTTAATTTCGAATGAATTGAGCAAACTTCTTCTGATAGCTGCCTCTTGTGGTGTTGCGAAATTGAAAGTGCTTTGGTTTATGTTGTCTCATGTTTTTTTTTTTTTTTTTGCCAAGACGCGAACTATCCTCAATTTCTTGCTCGGGAATATTAATGCTCATGGCTGGTTCGCCTTCAGTCATTTCTATTGCTACAGCAAATAGTTTAAATAAACTCAAAGCAAACTGTACGTTGAATAATATCTACTGTATGTTTTTTTATGGGAAATCAAATTGTCCATTTTCGAATAGTGAGCATTGCAGGCAACGTACGTATACCATGTGTTGTAGTTGTTCTACACAAAACATAATTTATTAGATCTCAAAAAGCTTTGCAAACTAATTTTACCAACACTTCCAAAGCCTTGTAGCTGAGCTTTGCTGATATACACAGCTCTGAGGAAGAAAAAAGAAGATCATTTTAATCACAAAGAGTCTCTTTTATATATGTATATATATTTTAATGAACGTACTTTGCTACTTCGTTGCTTCTGCTTCTTCTGTTTTTGGCCTTCCAACAAATAAATTGTTAGTTTCACAACCTGGTTAAATCAAGCTCTTTTTGTTCAAACATACCGTGCGCGTCTTTTAGATGTACTTCTAGGTTCAAAGCGTTGGTATATTCTTTTTGAGTACCGACACAGACGTGACTACAGAATGTCCTGTAAATAGTTTTTTGAGTCATTTTGATTGTTTACAGGTTAAAAAGGAAGGCCAGCACTGCACACGCACGAAAATTGGGATTAGACTAATATTATGTGCGCACCTCTGCCCATTACCTATGATGTCGTCCAGCAAACCTTTTGGATGTGTGGCGTCACGCAACATGGCTTTATAAAGTTACTATCTTGATTTGTTTCTTTTCAAGAAGAAGAAGAATAAAAAGAAATACTGTTATTTCTTTTTTTACTCTAGTTTTTTTGTTGTCAGCTTGATCAACAGAGAAGCAAGATCACGTGTAATTATGATATATTCGCATTTACATTATTTAGCCTATTTTCTGGTGTATGTAGTGTTGACCTACAGTCTTTCATACAGCATATTTGTCGTACTTCACCTATGACGCTTAAGTAACAGAGGACTGCGAAATCCGGAGGAGACTTTGAAGGTACGTAATCGCTGTTTAAATCCTCTCAATGCATTAGAAGTGAGCATTACAGGGACAGTAAACACTACAACAATTCATGAAGGGCATCACACGCTTTTGTGATATCATGGAAAATGAATTGATATACGTTTTATATTAGCTGTCAAATTTATCAAGACGAGGCTCAGAAATAAACACCATCCATTATATCACAAATAAAAGCTTTTTCTAGTAAAATGTAACAATTACACACATCATATAAAGAGCCTCTCTTTTATGCTTTAGCTTAAATAAAAGGCAAGGGAAGAAATTCATTAAAGAAGCTCTTGTTAAAACTCTTTACTTACTTTTTAGCGGCTTGGTTTTTGCTCTACAAGTTAATTCAATTTATAAGAGACCCATTTATTACGACATAAAACATACAGTTCTTTATATCATTTGTTCTATACACACGCACATATTCGTCCTCTAAAGATATACAACACTATTGAATGGCTTCCACAATAGGGGCTGATTCTTAAAAAAAAAATAGCTTGGGGTGAACTTATTTTAGTCCCTCATAAGCGCTTATTTTTTTCTTTTTTCTCTCTCTCTTCTTTTTTCTCCCCTCTTCAGACAAGAAACTTCAAATGACTGAAAATAATACCAATGATACCCAAAATTCTGATGTTGGCATTGAAAAGATTGCTTTACAAATTAAATCTCTAGAACAACGCACAACTTCTGTTACTTTGCCTCGAAATGCTTCAGTTTTGCAACTAAAGCATGAAATACAAATTGCCTTTGATGTTGAATGTAATAGACAGCGTTTAATATTTCAAGGAAGAGTTTTGAAGGACGATAAGTACTTGACTGATTATGGTATACTCACTATATATAAATGTGTATGGCAAGAGTGGATTCATTGTTATTTTATTAGCTAATTTGGATAATGGTAAAGTCATTCATCTAGTCATCAGACCAGCAGATGCTCCTCATAATCCACAAAATGGTTAGTATTGAGCTATAAACGTTAGTATTCAGCTAATGTTTCCCCCATCCATAGATGATCCTAATCCTGGAACTACAAATACCACTCGTAGCTCTAGGCTCAACGGACGTCCTTTCCCCTTTTCAAACCTTTCAAGTCGCTTTCCAATGATGGAGGGATATGCTTTTATAACCCTTGACTCAGCCGTTGGTGAACCCAACGATAACCATTCTGTAAGTATATGATAATGCATATGTGTGTATATATTTCCGACTAAGACAAAATATATAAACTGCGGTAGTTGATTTCCTCAGTCTTGAATGGCCTCACTTCGGGTACTAGAAGCAGAAGCCCTTCAACACAGACAACAACACCAACTACAGATTCAACATCAAATAACGTAAGTTTTCTTTTTTTTTTTAATTTAATATTAAACTCTAAACAATCAAAGCAGCCAAATAGAACAAGTGGACTCTCAGCTGCATCCAGTCTCTTCAGATCACCCTTTGCCTTCAGCTTTAGTCACAGAGGTTCGTCTGGAGAGCAGCGATCTCCTTTTGCTTCTTCACTAGGATTTCCAGTAAGTGAAGCCCCCTTGCAGCTGCATGCGTTCTCTAACTTGATTATTCTTTTGTATAGCCCAGCGTGGAAGTTAGATTGGCTAGAACCTTAGTATCCATAAGAAATGTTAGATCTATGCTACAAGAGTCTAATAATCTGACAGACGGTAAGAAAAAGAGGGAAAATAATAAAAAAAACAAAGGGCTAATGTCTAGTAGAATCCTCTATACCTTCGTTTGGAACTAGTTCGACAAGTGAACAATTGCAAGAAGTCAGAAATTCAATGAGAAATAACGGAGGTCCTCCATTGTCACAAATTGGTATGGCTTTAGAGGAACTAGCAGATCTAATTGAAACAGCAGCACCCCACATGCGAGATACGGCTGAACAATTAAGAGCAGGATTAAGTGAAGATAATGTAAGTTTAATTGTGTACTACAGGAACAAACGCTTATACTTTGTGCATACAGCGCGCTATAAGCAGAAGGGTACTCTTTATCTCAAGAGTCATACAAGGCATGAGCTTAATAAATCACTTTATGGGATCTATTCTCGCAAGTATGGAAATCGACTCTAGACGAACACGATCAACACAACCAAGACCGACTACACCAGCGACACCAACCACTCGTGGGGAGACAGCGGCTTTAAGAACAAACCCACCTACTGTTTCCTCGTCATCTTCGTTGCCTACAAATAGTGTAGAACCATCGTCATCATCAACATCTACTTCTAACGGATTAAAGCGTAAATGCGAGGAAAATGAAGAAGACGATTCATCAAAAAGAACTAAACAAGAAAAGGGCAAAGGAAAAGATAAAACTGATTAAATAAAGCACAAACAAAAAAAAAAAAAAAGAAAAAGGACAAAAAAGGTTAAGCGCACAGTAGGATAAAAGCCTCCTCTAAGAGAGAAAATGGTGTAAAAGAAACGAGCTGATGTATGTTTACAATATGTAAAATACGCTTTACTTAATGTTCCCCCCTTTCCCTTCTGCTTCCCTCCCCTTTCTTTTCTCTATTTTATTCTTATTAATGTGTACAGCCATTTTTTTTCCTTTTTATTATGTATCAATGAATAGTTAAAGTAAATATCTAAATCCTCATGAATAAATTTAAAAAACCTTTATACAAACGACAAAATACCCTTCAAGACCGTTACTTGTGATCATACTATCTTGTTAAGTTCTCTTTTATAGTATAAACATTTATACATGTTCTCCATTATTCAAATGAGTGAAAAGAATAAAAGAATATCATTGTTAGATGTGAGGATCTATGAGATGTTCCTTCAGAAGCATAGTTGTTTCCCTTATTGTTTTAAAGTGATCAAATGTAGGAATGAATAGAACAGAAAAAAAAAAAAGAAATGGGTTCAAACACTATAGAAAAAGCATAAACTATGATGTGGCATTACATTTTAAATATATTTATCATCGTCTTCTGCTATCATGTCTGTCTTTTGATCTACTACGGCTTCTACGATATCGATCACTTCTTGATCTTTTCTCTTCTCTATATTTTTTATCCTCATCATGGTTTCTCTTTTGAGAATCACCTGTCCTCGTGCCTCTCTTTCGTTCATATTCTTCCTGAATGGCCTTGGCCTGTCTGCTTCTAGGATCGATCACAACATAATCATCCACGGTCTCTCTTCGCCGCATCAGGTCTTTTCCTTTCAAGTCCTTCTCAAACACCAGTTTGTGCGCAATCCATCCTTCATCGGTGACGTCGTCTTCAATATTTGTCATATCGCGACATGATTCACAGCCTGGGATGCCGTGAAGCTCACAGGGCGGTAATTCCTTCTTTGGAATCACTGTTTCTTCCTTAACAGAAGAAAGCTTCTTTTGGAAAGCCATGAGTTTATTGAAAACCTAAAAGCAAATGTCAACTACATATGTGATTGTGGATTGGTACCAATAACTTACATCCGAGTCATCTCCCTTTTTTGCTCTTTTTCTCTTTTGACCTGCATACTTTTCACGTTCCTGCTCGACCAAGGACATTTTCTTTTCCCTTCTGACCACAGGTTCTGCTTCCTCTTGAGACGCTGTCTTGGACAGGTTACGAATGTCTTGCTTTAACTTTTCAATAGCGCTTGCCCTTGACTCTGCTGTATCTTCCTGCTTTTTTTTCTCTTCCAGTTCTTTTCTCTTTCGTCTTGCTTCTTCCAACTCCTTTTGCTTCTTTCGCTCTTCCTCCTCTTTCTGTCTTTTTCGTTCTTCTTCTTCCTTTTGTCGTTCTTTTTCTTCTTGTTTCTGCCTTTCCTTATTAACTGGTTTTTGTAGTTCTTGGAGTAATTCTTCTGGAGGTGGTGCTGCTGTCTCCACAAAATCATACGCGCTCTTTTTTACTGTCTTTTTCTCTGCCTCTTTCTCTTCTGGGGGCATCAAGTCTCCTGCTTCTTCGCCAAAAGACAACAAGTTTAGCTGCCTAAGAGAGAGATATGGGTAAGGGTATATTGTAAAGACTCTTTTTTCTTTTTACTTTTGAGGCTTCTTCTTCTTTTTTGCCTGTTCTGCAGCTTCTGCGGCCCTTTTCCTCTCAAGTTCTTTAGCCAATTTTTGTTCACGTTCAGAGATACGAGGCACAATATCATCAAATGGATTGATTACGACCTCAGTCCTCTTGATACGAGGAGGATACAGTGGCCGGTCGTTCTGATCAAGCTCAAGCTCGGTCATCTTCATCACGTTGAATAGCGTGTCACCCGCCACTCTGCCAAATAAAGTGTGCTTCTTTGTCAATTCATCAGCTCGATCGAGTGTGATAAAAAATTGAGATCCATTGTCGTTTTGTCCTGTGTTGGCGACACCGACGAGTCCACGTCGATTGAATCGTAAACGTGAGTGAAATTCGTCTGGAAATCCGTCTTCATAAATAGATTCTCCACCTTTATTCTTTTGGTTATTAAACAATGCATAATTTAATGTATATATATATGTATATATGTACCTTGTCCTGTTCCAGTAGGATCACCTCCTTGCACTAAAAACCCTGGAACGATGCGATGAAATATCGTGTTGTCATAGTAACCTTCAAGACAGAGTTGAATGAAGTTACGTGATGCTCTTGGTGCTTCTTTCCCCCATAATTCAATCTCAATGTCACCAGCAGTTGTGTATAAAATAACCTTGGCGCTTTATAAATATATAAAAAGGAGTAGATTAGCTTCAATTAGTCTTGTATTCTTTCTTCCTATCTTTACTTTGTATGTGGTTCTAAAGCATAAATATTCGACATGAGGCAATAAGAGAAAGAAGTAAAAAATGTAGTCACTGAACATTTTTAAGATGACACTCAGTCTTTTACCGCTTAAAGTATTAAATGCACCGTACTCCAATTTGAGATGCTTTGAAATTTAAAATTAGACGATTCACGTTTTTTTTTTTTTGAGACGTTTGCAACAATAAAATTAGATGATTTACTTTTATTTTTGAGACAGACTCGGTTCTTTTTCAGACATTATTGTTTGCATTAATTTACAGCTTCACCACGTATAACTCTACACTGGCGACGTCAATTTTTATATGAATCAAAATTTTACAAGACGGATATCGAGTGAATAGCACATAAATATAGGTGATCTGTAAAAACTAGCTAGAAATTCGAGATAGCGGTAAAAGGCTAATTTTTGATGGAGGAGATCTCATAAAGAAGAATCAGGGTCAGTAAAATTTCATCTTGCAAGTGATAATATAAATGTATACAAAAATAATATATCATAATGTACATACGATAAAAAGTATTAACAACAGCCATTTTTTTGTATCTCTTTATCTTTTTTATATGTCTCACTTTTCTCAAGAATGTGTCCTATTCTATACCCTGATACCGAAGAGCTCATTCGTAATAAAAAAAAAAACGAAAAACCACCAGTTTACGCTCAAAGAACGCTTGAGTATGGCTTCTCCCGAATCTTATCAAAGATTTATGATATCTTTAACTCTTGGGTCTTTTTTAACAAGCGATGAGCAAGAAGAGGATGATAAGCTAGCGTGATATCAAAGAAGAACAATTGAACTGTCTTCTTTTTTAAGACAGGTGATGTATAGAGCGCAAATATTTGTAAATTATTACATATTGAGCAATTCGAACAACATTGATAATCTCTCCAATGATATATTTGATCAAAATTTTTGGTACAGAGTCTGCCGACTGATATATCAAAGCATAACAATAGACGCACTTCAACGCATGTATCCAAGATTATCGGACATTGAAGCAACCTTCAGTCTACTGCAAAGCTTGGAAAATGTAAATCTGCTGGTTGAAAAAAACAATCTTGTGGGCTAGGACAAATCATATCGTCTGCATGTGAGACTGTAGCAACTACATATAATAACTTTTATGTTGAAAACTTTGAACAGTATATTGGAAATTATTTTGTATATAAACTAAAAATTGAGCATGGTGTAAGTAATTTAAGTTAGATATATTACGTATACTTACGATTATATATTAATGAAATATATATACAATTAGAATCTAAGCATGTCGGTAGTAAAAAAGCTAGTATACAACTATATATTCCATGAAGTTTTAACGAACATTGCGAGGTCGGATATGCCAGAAGATTTTCTTGCTCAGGACACCCTAAATCTTGTTCCGAGTTTACAGGTTCACATAGACAGGATTATACAGCCTATAAAGAACAGGCTACAGCAACCACCTCTAAATAAAGAAATTATCACAGCAAATCCATTTACAGTTTTAAATGTAATGGCATTTATACTTGATCTTTACGAGCAGAAAAATGTGCAAGCACAACGACAGCAGCCTGAACAGCAACGGCAAAGAAGACCTCAACCTCGTTTATTTTCTCTTTTTCCTAATTCAAGCTATAAATGGCGCTTTATCAAGCTAGATGGAGAAAATTTAAACACGATTTTTCGTGACACTCGGTTACTCCGACAGTATGGAGGCATAAACAAAAGTTTATAGTCTCTACTCTCGGCCGCATCCACGACGTACTGGTAATGATGAATTCTGTAATAGTCCACAACAATATAAAGGTCATGCTTGTTGAGCTTGTCCAGGACATCCATGACATTTCGAAAAAAAAAAAAACCTATATGACATGTAGCTGTACCTTTTTTTTGGATTTTCTTTTTAACATCGTTAATCTTAGCCTACAAAGTTACAACAAACAATATCAATAAAATGTTGTATTGATCTCTTTTTCTTTTTCTAATCTTTAATGCCTCGTATACCTATTTATCCTGAAGTGGAACAATTCATTGCTCTAAAAAACACATAAAGATAGAAAATATCCAATCCAATGATAACGCAGAAGCATTACGTGCCCAAAATTCAAAAAGGACAGGTAAAAAGAAATGCTTGATGTATTTTTAATGTCTCACAAGCTAATTTGCATAAAGGTACCAAGAGAAAAGATACTTCTGATGTAATAAAAGCAAAAAAGGACGTAAAGAGAAGGCATCAGGCAGCTACCTCCGAAGCATCATCCACTACAAGTAGAATAATCTGTAGTTCTTGCCAAGAGGAGGGACACAAATCTGCAAGAAGTCGCGCCTGTAGGAACTACAACCTGAAATTAGAGGAGCTTCTACAAATCAAACTTGGCTCAAATTGTCAAAGGTATACTGTTTCCATTCCTTTTGCAAACTTCTGTAGAGAGGCCCCCCAAAAAAGCCAACTCCTTGGAGAAGATCAAGGCAATATCAGGTTTTATCAGGGAAGTGATATTGAAAGCACAGCTGTTTGTGAATTACTTTATATTGAAGCATCTAACCAAGTTGACCAATGAGTTTTTTTAGCAAAGCTTTTGGTATACTATTTCAAGATTATCCGTGCTGGTCCAGATGAGATCAAGTCCATTCTAAAGGACGATCGAAACAGGCGAAAAGAAAGACCGAATGAAGAAAATTTGGACGTTGATCAACTCACAAATTCATTTGTTTATCTATCCTCTGCTACCACAAATGGTAGCTTGTTTGTAGAAGAGAATGGGTTAAGGAACTATGGACAATCTCTGTCAACTGCCTGTGAAACTGTTGTAACCAATTATAATAATTACTACATTGAAAATTTCGAAAATATTATATGTAATTACTTCATCTATACCCTGAAGAGAAAGTATCCGGTAAGTGATAACAAAAAAAAATTATCTAATGCATTCATATTAACCTGTGTGTTTTAGAATGTAAAGGTTGATTACTTTAAAAAATTGGTGTACAACTATGATATAGTGAAGTACTCGTACGTTGTAAACTATCCTCTATACCTAATGAAATACTTGGCCATTTTGATTAGGATGTGGCTTCTAGTCTTTCCGGTTTTTTGAATCCCTTAATTTTAGAAATGAAGAATCGTATGCCCACCCTTCTAGTGTCGAAAGCCAGCTTGAATAATGAACCTTTCAAAATTTTACCCGTCTTAAGGCATATCCTAGAAAAGTATGAAAATTTGCATATGGCTCAACCTTCTCAAATTGACAAAGATAGTACCAGCAAGTTCGTACCTCCCAGACTTTTTAGTTTGTTTCCGAATTCCGGATTGGGCTGGCGATTTATAAAGGTCGGCGCTCAGAACCTTACAGGCATTTTCCTCGAGACAAAACAAGAAAAACAAATCAATGGGCCCCCATTTGATCATAACCAAAGGCAATTCTTCCAAATGTTTGATTTTAAAAAGCTGGGATTTCGAAGATATTATTGTTTGATGCTTTTATATTCAAGTTGTTAGTGATAATCATGTAGTTGGGAAGAGCTCAAAGATATGCCCGAGCAAAGAGGAAGGATGTTTTTTAAAGGAATGTACACCGATGGCTACACGTGTAGAATGCTGTTCTGTAGAAAGGCGCTTCCGGCGTTGGCAGCAGATGACGCTTCTCTAGAGCTAAGTGATTTTACAACCGACGAAGTAGATAAACATTTTCGTTCATGTACTGTGGGCCCAGGAAGAAAGGATGCCTTTGTCTCTTACCACGAAGGCACCGATGTACACCGCCTGCCCTCTGCTGCGTACTACGGTATGGATGGAACTGTAAACGCCAGAAATTACAACAAGGTCGTAAAAAAAGCTTAGGTATTGAAAGAATTGAAACAGATATGCCTTCGCTGAAAACTGCATCCGTTTAACAATACATGCTATATCTAACTTATATACTGCAACACATGGACGTCTTGTTAAACTTTTACAATTTTGAGCCTGCAAAGCTAAAATGGCTAAATTATGTTGGGTCTCAAAAGGCCATTCAAAAAAGCGCGAATATATTATTGAATGGTGGCAAAAAAAAAATAACAAATTACGAAGAAAAAAATACAAAGAGGAACACCCAGTTCCTATCCCACAACCTGAAAGGTATATACTTTTTTTGTTTTCTTTTTAGTATAATCTAAGCATTATTCGTATCTTACAGGAGGAAGAACAAAAACCGTTTTGAAGAAGGCGACTGCAAAAAAATACCTTTGGTTATCTTTGGTGACGGGCTGAAAAATAAAGGCCATGTTAGGTTTACAGGTCTTTGACATGGTGTCTCCAACAAAATTTATAGGCAATTAAAGCACAGAGAGGGCCTTGGAGAGTTGTTACTTCTCGATATCAATGAGTACAAGGCCCTCAAGGTTAGTATAACAATGATCATAGATCATACATTCTAAACAATATCCTTATAGACCTGCAACTCTTGCTTAAACCAAGACCTACAGAATCCAAAGTGTAGAAGAGGTGATGATATCAGAAAAATCCATCAAGTATTGAAGTGCAGCACTTGCAATATTTTTTGGAATCGTGATGTAATGGCAGCTAAGAACATGCTTCTCATTGCACCTTCTATCTGGAATGGTCAAGGTCGACCTAATGTCTTCAAAAGACAAATCGCCACCTCCAATGTGGTTGCCTCGTCCCACTCCGGTGCGGTGCTGGCTTAAAGGTTTTACAGGTAAAAAGAGTAATTGTTATTTTTGAAACTGTCTGAAAACTAATGTTGATTCGTCTAATTTTAGAGTAAAATCCTGTAAATGCACCTTTGGTATTGAGAAATATTTTAAATAATATATTATTCTTTATCAAAAGTCTATATTCATACAAATAAATAATAAATAAAATGCACAATTAGTGAATATGGGGGACATGGACAATAGGAACATACTCAGGAACGAACATTGAACTCTGTACGACTTCACTGAGTAATTCGCCTTCTTTCAAAACAGCAGTAGCAACACCATCCTCATAAGCTACTTCGCAAACACGAGTACCAACAGTCTTTGCGACCTCACGAAGATGCTTGACACCAGGGAAGAGGATACCTTCCTTGAGTTGAGCAGGTGTAGCCATATCAGCAATTGTCTTTGCAGTTTCGAGGAACATCCTTGGGGTCACTCGAGTCGCTCTTGAAACGGTGATGCCGAGACCAAGACCAGGGAAAGAGTAAGAGTTATTACACTGGTTAGTTCGGCCGAGCTTACCATTGGGTAACAACACGTCTGGGAAAGGACTACCTGAGGCAAATATAGCACGTCCTTCTGTCCACTTGAAGGCCTGTTCAGCTGTACACTCGGCGCGGGTGTCAGGATTTGAAAGAGGGAATACGATGGGTTTTTCTTGGTACTTGGCCATAGTACGAATAGCCTTCTCCGTAAACACACCAGGAACACCTGTAAGACCCAAAATAGCTGTAGGCTTGACACGTTCGACGACTTCTTCAAGATTGAGACGATCAGGCAAGTCAGATTTGACGTAGCACTGTTGACGTTCGTCCAGTGTTCGCTTTTCGACACCATTGGTTGTTGATGATGATGATGTGTTGGTACCGATCGAGGGGTTACCTAGTAAACCGTATTGATCCAACATCCAGATGCGAGAGTAAGCTTCTTCACGAGAGCGAACCTTTCCTTGTGAGACCATGGCATCAATGATACCTTCACATACACCGACACCAGCAGAACCAGCGCCCACACAAACAATACGCTCCTCTGCAAGGCTGTCTTGAGAACGACCACGAGCCTTGAGTGAGGCTAAAAGACCAGCCAAGGTAATGGCAGAAGTGGATTGGATATCGTCATTGAAGCAAGTGACCTTGTTTTGATACTTGTTGAGTAAGTTGTATGCGTGAGGGTATTTGAAATCCTCGAATTGGATAAGGGCATCTACACATAGGTTAGTTACACATACTTTAACAGTAAGCTACAACTTTACTTGGCCATCGACTTTGAATAGCAGTAACCCATTCATCAACAAAAGAATAGTATTCCTCTCCATCTAGTCTTGGGTGACCCATACCAAGGTAAAGAGGATCATGTAGTAATGATTCATTATTAGTACCAACATCCAAGACAACAGGTAGAACCGAGCGTGGTCGGATACCTCCTGCGGCAACATACTAATTTACAGCAAAAAAAAAAAGATGTTAATTAAGGCACGGATCAATTTACTTTTTTGTCATATTTACCAAACTGAGTTTACCGATCGGGATTTGCATACCATTGGCACCCAAATCACCTAAACCGAGTACACGGGAACCATCCGTGACAACAATGACATCAACTTCATCATGAGGCCAGTTATGAACCATAGCTGACATAGCACCTCTGTCTTGTGAAGAAAAGTACATACCACGAGAGCGACGATAGATGGAGTGAGAGAGTAAACAGGCTTGGCCCACTGAGCGGGAAAACATGGAAAAATTAGGGTCGGTGTGGGAAAGGGCTATAAAATTTTTTTTACCTGTTGGGGTATAAATGATACTGGCCAATTCTTCTAAATGAGTGATCAGCAGCTTGTAGAACAATGTCTCGTTACGATCTTGGAGGGCAGTTAAAAAGACAAACTTTGCTAAAGGTGTGTCTAATGCATCCAAGTTACGCTTAATTCGAAGTAACTGTTTATCCATCTCCTGACAACGAGGTGGTACTAATCCACGAATAGACAGTCTTTCTCTTTCTGCAATACTAAATGCAGTACCTTTTTTTTTTATTAGCCATTATTCGTTTATATTTATCAATACTCACCTTTGGACAAAAGAGGATCATGGATGATATTGACACCTCTCAAGGGGGTTAACTGAACTGTTCTATCCTTTCGAGGATCTGTTCCTAAGCTAATGGCAGATGCTGGTAATCCGTAAAAACGGCGTGGCTTGACTACTTTGTTTATAGATTTTCTAAATGCTCCTGAATATAACATAATGAATAAGTAAAGAAAAGAGAGGGGAAAGACGGAAAGGATGGGAATTGGGTATTTATATTCGATACATTTGAAACACGCGCCTTATATCGGTGTTTCAATGATCTCTTTTTATAAAACAAAGCCAGAGAAACAAAAGCAGAGATCGTGTATATTGTATATTTAAGTCACTCACAAACAGGAGACATTTTTGCCTTGATTCCGTGATGATCCTTGATAGAGATCATGCTTTTATTTATTTATTTATATACAGCAAATATAGAAACTGCGCCATTGTATATGTGATGCCCTTCGTTCATTGGCGAATGACTCACTATGGCTTTTCAGGGGCCGTACAGAGATTTTTTTTTATTTGAAAGTAATTTATTGCATTGGTTCAAGGGTCAGGCTACTCCATAGCTGATCTTATGAAAGATTAGAGTTACAACTTGGATTAGTCCATACTCTATCTGAATTACTCCAGACCCAGTCTTAGCCAAGTTTTCTCTCTCTTCAAAATAATTTTTTTGGAGATTACTTTAAACTCACTTTGCATGATATATATTTCCACTTGAATTTAAAAGACGTCTTCATACAGTACCTTACAGTGCATCTTTGAGATAAAGGGCATCTAAATCATTAGCACGGTTTGAGCAAATACAAGGACTCAGGAAAAAGACCTGCTTTTTTTTTTCCAAGTCCTATATGTTTACCCAATCATAGCGCTCTTAAGTCTTGACTCCATTATTTTTACTAAAGCTTGAAATTAAACTTCCCCTCTTCCTTTTCAGTAGTTAACGTAATTGCTGAACTTCACTGAGGAAGAAGGGATTTGACATAATATATCTTCAATTACTTGTATGGTAAAGGGTTTTAATTTTTGCCGCAGTTTTCTAAAATGAGTGGACTTTGTTTCCTTGGCTCTTTGATTACGTGTATATCGAAATATTGACTTGTTCTCTGGTGCACTGTTCTCGTGCATACAGCACAGAAGATATCTACGCCCATGATCAATTAAAATACAGTTACTACTAGTTTTGATCAAGTTGTCTTGAGCCATATTTTCGATATGACGAAATTTGTCAATGGAATTGTTAGGCTTATTGCGATTACTTGCAGAACCTTTCGAAGTTACAAAGTTTTGTTTAACCACAGAGACTTCCACACCATCTGTTTCAATTGTTCCTTTAAATTGAATAGTTTTCCCAGCACCTTGGTTTTTGGGTACTTTGCGGTTTAAGTCAACAGCTTCTCCCCAGAGATCAAGCTTGCTGGAAGTAAAACTCTTGTTTTTCAAAATATGAAAATTCACGATTTTTGTGTCGATGATGACATATGATGGAATGGAGCCTTTTCGTAAAGGAAAACAAGAAAACGATTTCGAGTTGCTCTCTTCACATAGTTTGGCCAACGTGTAGAATGCATACATATGTTGACGAGGATTTGCTTTCGCGTCGTAATATATTAAACCTTTTGCAAAATGATAATCTGTAGGATACGATTTGAAAAAGCCCTGTAGCTATTCAGTTGCTTTATCGTCTATGAAATCAGTAGGGAGCTTTGACACATCTCTTGATGACAGAGAGTCTTTTATTTTTTTAAGCGGATCATGCACATTTGTCTTGATTAAATTTTGATAGCCTTGTCAGAGTAATTCTTGGTTTTCATCTCGTTCGTCAGTCGAGCAATTCTTTCCTTTTTTTGTGTGATTCTATTAATAAACATGTGTAGACGATTACCAAGGTTTGGAGTAATGTTATTAATGTAAGCTGTGTGTATTTTTATACTTTCGTAAATCGCGAGTTGCTGTGCATTCTTTAGCTCGATGGGTTTGTATGCAGCATAGTCACAGTAATCATCCTTGTAGACGTAGATTTTTTCTCACAGTACTCGTACTTTTTCCGAAAGATTTGATCTGCTTAATGCCTGGCTATCTCTAAACTCTTTGTCAACCAATGACAGAAAGGCTTCGCGAAAGATGTCTTTGATAACATATTCTTGCAAACGAAGTACATTATTCTTTTCGAGTTATTTCAAGTAAATACATTTAGAGAAAGCGCATGTATGTGAGACTATAACGTTCATAATATGAATTAATTCTTGTAGAGAAGGTATGTATTTGGCTTTCCAACCAGTGCCACAAACAGATGTCTTAATTGTCATAATTCTGGAAGGCTCAGCGTTTGATGAATTTTGTTTAGTTTCTTCTAAAAGCCCACGATGAGTAGCATAAGAAAATATTTCAATATGTATGTTTACTTACTTTCTTGAGTTTTTTTTGCATTTCGCTTTATAATTTTTTTTAAGAGAAAGAAAGAAGTAAAACAAGAAGTAGCCACATTGATGGACAGCATGTTGTATTGATACTTAATGGATTGACTATTGACCACATATCAAATAAAAAAACTGGAGTTGTTCGATTACTACTTAAGTTAATTAACAGGAACTATGCTTTAAGGCACCCATACCCAGTGACTCTGATCTGTCATTGCTATTAGGGGTCATCATCTTATGAAATATATACGAATGTTCTAACCCTCTCTCTTTGCCTTAGATGTCATTCATAAGCCTCTATGAAAAGTTTTACGATCTCAGTTGAAGAGTGTCTCACATTTAGTATAAATATTCGTCCTTAATAAAGTCAATCGACATATGTCTTTTAGTCTGGTTAATTCTAGTCTTTATTCTTTTTAATTGATACTTCGTATTCAACACTGTTATTGCAATTTTCGGCTTCGTAGCATTGCCTTCTTGCGCTTGAACTACAGCAGCCCAACTATATTTGCATTCTTTTTTTTGGATAAGATAGATGCATTGTTGTTGCAAGTCTTCGCTCGTAATTTGGATCAATACTCTTTAGGTGGCCATACGGTTCAACGCAGTTTATGAGGATGGCAGAGGACTGTTCTATTAGCATCCCTTCGCAAAAAATTGAGAAACAGCATATCTGAGCTGTAGAAAAATTGTCCAATCTTTGTTGACACATTCAGTCATTGACTTTGAAGGCTCTGTATATTTATGGCTCGATATATGTTTGAAGGCTACCCTGTTGCTATTTCAGTCGTTATTGGAAGCGTCCACTGACCAGCAGACTGATCAACTAGAATATCCTGTATGTTTTCTAGAGAGGTACGATTTTCCGTTCAATGACAACAATGTAATTGCTTCCCAATCTCCAACCTTGGTCAACATTATACGTTTCTCTTGCTCAGGACTTGAGAGTGAAAGCGCGCTCGATGCCAACAATATCAAAGAATTCTTGTTACACAGAGATGAATTTGCTATTGATGAATAACTTGAGTCATATTCATCTATGTTCAAATGAGGGGCTCGCATCTGGCGTTGTCTTGGGTTTATAGACAGGGAACTATTATTGTTATTCTTATTGCTAGCGTTGACAGTGTTGTTGTCGTTGCTGTCCATTTCGGAATACAATCGCTTTCTCCTTTTGGAAGCAGTCGAGCAGCGTCCGCCATGCATCTTGCCAAGGTGGCAGTTTAGCGTAGTAGGACTAATAAGTCTACTGGAGTATTTGGGACAAGTGAACTTTCCATCAACTCTGCTAACTAAAGCTGTCTCTACAGTAGGCTCTTGATTATGGAATACCTATCAGAAGCACAAATGACATTCCATAATCAAGGATATTTTGTAATAAAGCTTATACATCGATAATCAAGGTGAATATAACAGGAAATTTAAATCGGTGACTGCGAAGTCCTTCGAAAATGGCGAATATTCCATATTGCTGCATTTCGTAATCGAGAATCTACTTTTTTTTTTTTTCAATGAAGAGGTCGCGTAAAAAGTAAATGATCCTCTTTTACCATCACTAAGAGCCACTTTCACTAAATCGATGTGAGCATCGTACTTATGATTTGCTAACTTTGTGCCTGTTTCAAAACTAAGATTACAAATATCACGATGATGGTTCATGTTGTGAAATGGACAAGTCAGACAAAAGTCAGGGAAACAGCAAAACCGCCATTTGGGTGTTAAAACCGCTGATTAGGTAGAGACATTACCGTTGTTTGGATGAGAGAGTGTATACGACATCTATTTTTAAAAAAAAGCGCGACACTCTTTTCTTGGTTAAACATGATATTTTATTGTTGGTCCAAATGAGCGCAAAAATAATAAAATAAACGTCGCTCAATCTGTTCAATCCGTTTGGAAGTAAATAGTAGCGAAAAAACCCCTTAGAGTACAAGAATAAAAAATGTAAAAGGAAAGTAATGAGTGGTGTTATCGATGAAAAGCTAAAGGAATTGATTTAGTCATACAATAAGCTTTTGACCATGGGGATGCTTCGCAGAGATCAATTTGTTATGGTGTAGCTGATCTAATTCATATAGTATGAAGTATATAGTCGGTCATCGCCGAACCAGATGAGGACTAAGTTTGGAGGAACCGAAGGGCGTAAAGAAAGCATATGCAGAAGGGATGACAATTGATATCGTATAGTTTCAGACATGAGCAGACATTGGCGCATATCAAGGCAGCTAATAGTGTGATCCTTAGAGAGCTGTTGCGTTGGGTGCTTAGGACATGTTTGAGGTTTGCCACCAGGAAGCCAGCCTAGTCTCCAGCGTATACAGCGACTGCGCTCTGATTTAGACATGAGCAGCCAGAGTATAGGATCCAGAGAGATCGATCGATGGCAGTTAGAAAGCAGTTTGGAGTTTCGGTATCGTTGGCGGTTTCAAGATTCTGTTGCAAAAAACGTCGTTTAGCAGCCTTGGTAAGCGAGTATTGGGTTCCTCAGTAGTAGACAGCACCGTTTTCCAAAGTGATGCATGAGAGAGAGAGCGTACCACTGGCTTCCTCTGGTATTGCGGATATAAGGTAACAGACAAGCAAGCAGTGCATCTTCTGGCAAATATAAGGAACGAAAGAGGAACTATGCCTGTAATATACTGACTCATTCAGACATGAGAGACAACTTGGACATGTGGAGCATAACCTTAGAGGACGCTTTGCCTCGAGCACCGTAGATTTTCTTGATGCAATTATTCTGGGCTTCCTCTAGAGTGTGAAGTTGAGAGGTCATGAAGTGGTTGATAGCTAGGTCGTACTCAAGTTGAGACTGAGCAATGTGAGCGTAAAACCTGGTGCAAAGAAGCTTGGAGAAGCCAGAAGGACACTTTTTTTTTCGTGACATCGTTTTGACAAATGGTGTAAAAGACTTGCTTTCCTAATAATACCGGCAATGCTCTTACACCATCTGATAACACTTCTCCTGGCTTGTTTTCCAGTTTCGTTGGCTGTCTCAAGTTTCGTCTTCCTTATGGCAAATCTTTCAAACATGTCAATACAAAGATATTCAGGAAAACTTGCATGGCAGCACTCACTCGTAGAGCTACCCGACCTCGTGTACTATGCACCAACTGGATGGACTTTTAATCGTTATCTCTCACCTGCATTCAACGTAATGCCCTTTATCAACTAATACATCGAAAGATTCCTCATAAGACTTGCTTACATCGTATACTCTCCAGGCCTGACGCCTCTCCATATTGCGCTTTCTGTGATGTGTTCATAGACTCTATTGACCTCTTCTTTTTCTCCTGCCCACTAAAGCTCCTGGATTGGCAAGAAGTCATACGAGGATTCCTGTGGCCGACTCTAGAAATCACTGGTATTCAACTTGTCCTTTATTCTCTGGATTTCCCCAAGGTATCTTACTGCCTGAATCCTCAGCTCGAAAGGGAAATTGTAATCATCACTTTAAGTTTTATTTGGAAAATACACTGACAGTGCCCCGGAAGACGTTCTTGAGTAACTTTTTCTTATTTTAAATGAATTTTATCATTTTTATTTGTATTTTATTCTATCCCTTTTGTTAGTAAATCTGCAACCGCCTCTGAGTTAGATTACAACACTAATTTACACGGCGCAGTTAATAAAAAAAAAAAAGGTGTAAAAGACAGCCACCCTATTTTGAAATCTTGGCAAATCAGCATTGCCGAGGATTCCAGACAGAGTAGTACTGACCTGACTTGGGTTTTCTGCCTCTTTTTTCTATTTTCAGTGGCTTCATGACATGATGATCCATAGGTGTGATGAATGTCCAATTATCACTAACTGTCCTAAATATCTTTGGTTTGCATTGCATGACTTTAACATCATCATCCTTTTGAGGTGGCAATAGTTTTAAGGAGCGGATTGGTGGGAGTGTGGGTTTAATGGAAGAAACATCTTTGGTAGTGGCAATAGTAGAAATAGTAACAGTGGTCATGGTAATCGTTTTTACTTGATCCATGCCAAGAAATAGGGTTAAAAAGAAAGAAAGGGTTGAACCCTTGGCAGAGCCATGACAGACAGGAAACCTTGTATTTATAGTCACAAGCCGCAGCATTTTTTTTATTTTTTGTTCTTTCTTTATTTTACGCGTGTGTGTGTACGATGGAATCTTTAGATTACTCTTTGACAAAGTTAGATTCATAAAACGCTCTTAAGTGCGCGCGTGTGTGTATTTGTGTGTGTTCATATGATTAAGTTAATAATTTTATAGTCTTGACGTACGATCATGTTTATAATAAAAAGAGAGAACAGTGACGATGACGCATTATCTTATCTTTTTGATAGGACATCAAAAGGAAACTAGAGCATGACAGCAATAGTAGTGATAATGATCATTCTTTGGTCAGAACGATCTATGCTCGAATTGATGAGTGCAAAGATGACATAAAGAAGAGAGAATGTTATAGCTTTATGCTTGAATATATCCTAAAGACGATCCCTAACGATATACTTACTGACATCCATTTCAAGCTATCCTGTATTGAACCTCGTATAAACTATTTACATAAACCTACTGTCTTTTCGTTCAGTTTAAAGGTAAAGTGAAGAGAGAATAAGTACCCCATGTTGTGGTACTCATGAAACTAGATATTACACCAAGCACTCAATGATATCGAAGTTTATCATTTGCTTTACTCTATCATAGAACAATGTGAACCGACTGTAGAAGATTGGCTTCGTGAGTTGGCAGATGTTCAAAAGACAAGACAGATGTAAGATAACCTGCTTCTTCCCTTTTATTTTACTAATACGTCATAGAATACTGGAATTTGAACGACTAGTCGATATGTATCTTTATGTACCTACTGCAAATAATAAAGCAGTAGTAGAAAAGGTACTCTTTAGGTTATTGTTTCTTTCTTGCATCATACTAATCAAGTCATGTATGTATATAGTTTATAAGACAGAATAGTCAAGTAACAGATGAACTGGTTTCAAGGTAACCTAGATAACAAACACTCTCTCTTCCAATAAGTGTCCATTGACCATTTAACGAAAAACAGGCTCAAAGTGTTCAACGCTCTTTATGGGACAGAAGTCATACCTTTGGCAATAGGCGGTAATAGTGACAAGGTAAGGCTCAACATGACAAAACCACAGGACTCAATCCCATTCTTGTTTTCTTTTATATTCCTTTTTCCTCTTAGCTTCAAGGTAATACATTGATTAAGAGTCATCTTTATGTGTCAGTGCCAGCGCTAGCGGTAAGTAAAAAAAAAAAAAAAAAGATATGACATTTGTACGCCAAGCCCAAGCATAACTCGGATCGTCACTTGGCTATTATATAGGAGATGGTCAAAAAGTTACACAACATCAGATTGTTTGAATTGCAGTTGGACCTTATTGAGCACAGTTTATGGGAGAAGCAGGTAATGAAAAGGAGACATTTTACAAGATATAAAGGAAAAAGGATACATTAATAGCGTATAAAAAGATCGAGATAGAGTTACCGATACCATTGTGCCAGCTAGAACCATTAGAGGGCGATCCCAAGGAGATCCTCATGTATTTGCGCACAGGCAATCCAACATGCGTGGTTAGATTATCTGCCTGTCTAATAAGCATTATATGCAAGAAAGAACAGAATAAGGCAAGTAGAAAGAGGGACCTTTTTTTTTCATAACTGACTAGTTTCTCTAGTGGCAGGAAACCCAGAATGAAATTGAAGCAACATGGCTGCAAACCTATGTTCAACTATTTCAAGATTTGGCATTTGAACAAGTGCCTATGGAAGAATCACGCTCAGCGCATGCATTATTTCGATATGCTGCTTGTTTGATCCAGTGTCGTATCCAGCTTGATTTTACTTTGCCATCAACGCTTTTCCAAAGAGCCTGGGATCATTTCTACATGCAAAGAAGTATTTATATGAAGTCCTTGGCTGATCAAGCTAAACTCGACCGTGCCAAGCGCGATTTGATCTTACTGGAAAATGTGGTATTTACTTCACTCTTATCACCTCATTGGACTGAAGGAGGTAAAGCTTTGTGAATTTCCAAAGCGTTTGGTGTCATCTTTTGCTCCCTAAATGCGTTACTGTTACAGATCAACTTGAAATAATAAAATGACTTTGACTGTTACCAGAGATAATTCTGTCTGAAAGTAATGAAACATAGATAACAGACAAGAAGTTTCCTTACTTGGTAGTTTCCCAGTAGCATTTGTGAAGAGAGGCATAAATAAGCTGAGAATTGGTACAACCAAGCTGAGTATTGGTACAACCAAGCTGAGTACCATGTGTAACAATTATTGCTAAAAGAAGTGAAAACTTGGGACTCTTCGTGGCCGTTGCCAAGATGAATCGAGACAATTTCTTGGCCACTGATCCTATCATAAACACATACAAGTATATATACACATATCTGTACGAATACATACACTCCCGATGAGCATGAGCCTTTATATTTATCACTGCTTATTCTTCCTCTTTTTTTTAATTGTAGTCATCAAAGACGACCTTGTTCTCAGGCAGGACAGCCAAGTGAACAATGACGTTTCTTGCGCCACAATTCCGCGCCTATAAAATGACCGCTGAATTCATCAACCATGATCTACATTATCTTTTTCTTTTTCTTTTTCTTAATCAAAAATCATGGTACGCATCGCTGTTCTTGGTGGATCTAAAGGCTGCTCTCAAGCTATGGTAGTCCAAGGCTTAGAATCTAAACCACATATGCAATTCAAACTTCTCGTCCGCAATCCTAGCAAGATAGACTATACTGATGAGCAAAAGGCTAAACTGACACTTATCCAAGGTGACGCTCTGGTGCACAAAGATGTTGAGCAGACGATTAGACAGACAGATATAGTCGTATTCTCTATTGGAAGTGCGTTCGATATGAAGACAAGATCCATGGTAACGCCTGACCTCTGTCGAGATACGATGACCGTGTTCTTGGAGGTCGTAGATAAATTACCAGAAGAGGACCGCCCTAAACGATTAGTGGTCGTGTCAACCACAGGTCTGGATGGCATGTCTGAAGTGCCTTATTTGTTCCGCCCAATGTATCGATTCCTCTTGCATGAGCCTCATATGGATAAACTAGAGCTTGAGAAGTTAGTGACAGGAGAAAAGAACAAGCATATACCTAGCTGGATCCTAGTCAGGCCCAGCCTTTTAACAGATGGAGGACTGAAAGGCAAGTATAGAGCAAAGGAAGGTATCTCGGGTTATACAATCTCTCGAAAGGACGTCGGTCACTTTTTGCTTCATCAATGTTTGGAAGAAGATAAATGGCTCAGAAAGAAGGTAGTTGTGACCTACTAGGAGTCCTCGTTCTCTTTATCGTTTTATCTCTCTTTGTGTATTGTTTATAATTATATGCCAACTTGCGCATGAAAGTATCAGCGTCATTGCTTACTTTATTTAAATAAAGACCTCGCTTTATCCTCGAGCCGCCCATTGTTTTGAAGTACTGTAGAATGTAAAAACCATGACAGATGTACCAAATAGTATGAGCAATCTATCAATCCATCGTTTCCATACTGTTGTACCCGGTAATCCCAAGTGGAAGAGAGGTGGAAATATCAAACTTAGTGGGCCTAAACACAGATATATGTGAGTGAATGTATATAGAGAAAGGGATGAGAACTTACAGCAGCAGACAGATCCAATTAAACTAACAAACTTGTCCAAATCACTAGCACCCACCCAAGCAATCAGAGTGCCAACAATTACCACAGTAACACGGAGCGTGTTTTTTTCCCACTTGATAAATAGGTTGTGTTTACCTGTCAAATCCCCAAACAAAGCGTGTTCAATGATACGTATGGTTGGAAACAAGGTGAGTGCGTTTGAAAGCAAGACAGCCATTGCATATCCCAGTTGAACCGAGCTGGACAAAATGCCCGGAGGTAGATTCAGTAAGGCTACCGTTTCCACTTGTTGACCGAACGCAATATATCCTAATGCGCCTACGGCACATAGTGTACATGCAACCAAAAACATGACAAAGGCAAGTACAAAAGGAAACTTTTCTGGTTTCTCCATAGAGTCGCGAATGGGTATGATCAAACCTACATATTTGGATTAGTCGCCTTCTTCATATGCGCAAATGACAATCAAGTACGAACCAATTCCTTCGTATGAGTAGACAGCTGTGCCAATAAAGGTGGTATAGCTAACAGGATTAAATAACCAGTGAATGTCAGGGCCTGTATGGGCTGGAGATGTCACAATCTCAGCTACATCATAACAAAGCAGGACGACAAGACCCGCGATGATAAGAGCGTCTGATATAAGCGCTGTAGGCGAAAGTTTCGCAATGTTTCGAATCAAGACAAGCGGTGTGAGCAATATCATGAGTAGGATAAAGACAAGACGAGGAGAAAGATGAACTGTATCATGACTGATGACTCGTACGGCTTCAATCACATTCTGCACTATAAATATAGTTCCACCACACATGAATCCCATCTAATTCCTGATTAGTTTACCAACTGATTTATTACCTTACAGTACCTACCTGTGACACAGCAATAGAAACTAACACGATGCTTCTCATCCAAGGCCCATAGAGTCGTCCTCCGATATCACCGTAACTGCCTGGGAATTGCGCTTTACATTCTAACAGCAGTAGAAAGCAATAGAACGATATACCACCCATTAACCACATCAAGACAATAGAGAAGACTAGACCTCCATTACAAAAGGCTTTGGGAAGAAATAAGATACCACTGCCAATGAATGCTTTAAAGAGCAAAAAAATTGTCTTTCGTACATCCGCCTTGGCTTCTACCGTCTTTTTCTTTTTCTTTGGTCGGTGTAGCAGTAGCAGTCGTGTTGTTTCTGATATTTCGCCTTCCTCTGATTCAGAATCGGATAGATCTTCGCCTGCGAATTGATTTATGACTGAAGTGAGTGCCAGGTACTCTAGAAAGTGCCGAGTGGGACGCTGTTCGGCTGGCTGAAGGAGACCTACAGTGTATTCTTGACGGTTCGAACAGACAGAGTCAGGACGAAATAATTCATGAAATGCTGGATTATGCTCTTGTTGCTCTTGCTGCTGTTGCTGCTGTGCTAGCCAGTGCTGTTGCTGAACGTGGAACCTTCTGAATCCACCCGGCTTGTCAAGGTATTCGAATGTCGGTTCAGGCCCCTCATTGGGCCGGCACTTTGACCGTAGTTCGTTTGTAGACTGTGACCTTTGTAATTGCTGATTCTGTTGAACAAGTGTATTGACATGATTATAAATGTCGTGAGTAATGGCAGCACCTGGTAAATGGTAGGGTATAGATATGTCTGTATTGGAAGTAGGAGAAGTGTTTATCGCAGCCTCCTCGTCTGAGCCTTGGGCGTCAGTCTCATGTACCAAATGTTGTTGAGCGATACTGGCAATAGTGCTTTCTGGTATCTGGCTTGGCTCCATAATACATAAATAAATAAAAAGGTTAGAAACGAACTTGCATTAAAAACCGGGCTATACCTTTTTTAGTTATTTTGACAGAAATGAAAGAGTGAAGTTATTATTGTCCAAGAATCAGCCAAAAGAGATATAAACATTCTTATAAAAAGGACATAAAAGACAATAGATTTGAGAAGCGCTTTCTTGCTTTGCTTTTTGATTCTGCTTTGTTACAAACAAGCTGGCCCTAGAGATTAACGTCGTATCAATCACGTGACTAAAAGCTTATTTTTGGACACGCACGCATTTTATTTTATTTTTTTCTTTTCTTTCTTTTTTCTATCAGTAACATAAAATATGGAACTTGATCCAACTGCACAAACAAACAACATTGAGCCAGGAACATCGTCTCTTGGCTCTTCTTCTTCTTCCAACGTAACAAATGCAACAACATTAGCACCTGAGAACAACTTTGGTGACAGACCTAATGATGAACAAGAACTCTATCCTATAGCTGTTCTAGTAGATGAACTTAAAAACGAAGATGTACAGTTACGCTTGAACGCTATTAGAAACTTGAGTACCATTGCTATGGCACTTGGTCCCCAAAGAACACGAGATGAGCTGATTCCTTTTCTTTGCGGTAATATATTAACATTATCCTTTATGCCCTTTTTTTTTAATTCTTTGTAATGTAGAAGGAATTGATGATGAGGATGAAGTACTTTTAGCAGTAGCTGAAGAACTTGGTAACTTTGGCGAATATGTAGGAGGTCCTGAATACGCGCATTTTATCCTGGCTCCTTTGGAAAACCTCGCATCTGTAGAAGAAGTGCTTGTGAGAGATAAGGTAAGAGAGAGAAATAAAGGCGACTACTATGGTTGGATATTTACTTCAAATTGTTTATATTTAGGCAGTGGATTCAATCAACAATATCGCCAAGTTGCTGAATGCATTTCAAGTTACACACTACTTTCTTCCTTTATTAAAGCGTCTTTCAAATGCAGAATGGTTCACAGGACGTATATCTGCATGCGGTCTTTATGCTGTAGGATACTCTAAATGCACACCTGAACAGCAAAGTGAATTACGAACGTAAGAGATCAAATGGGAATCAAGATTTCTGTGCGCTGACTCCTTTTTATAGTTCATTTGCTTCACTTATTCAAGATGACACGCCTATGGTTAGAAGAGCGGCTGCCAAAGCACTTGCTGTAAGATATCAACATGTTGAATATAATACATAGTAACCATTTATATTTATATATATATATATATATATATATGTATAGAACTTTTCAAAAGAGTTGACACCAGAAGTTATCATCAATAATATTCTGCCACTATTCCTAAGATTGACGACAGATGATCAGGATACTGTACGTTTATTGACAGTAGAGGATTTAGTACAGATCGCCAAAGTCATTTCACCTGAAGAATTTAGACAATATTTACTATCTACATTGAAAGCACTTGGACAAGATAAGTCATGGAGAGTTAGATATGCAGTAGCATCTCATTTCACGGAGGTAGCTATCCTTTCCTAGCGGTTGATTCAAAATTAATACTTGTTCTTAGTTATGTGAAGCAACTAGCGATGCAATCACCATAGAGGAAAAGTTGGCACTGTTCTTGAACCTAATTAAGGATAGTGAAGGTGAGGTCAAAATATTGGCCATTGGTCAAGCATCAGGTACGAATACAAGGACAAGTGAAATATAAAAAATAACACAATTACACAGGATTTTCAAAATTGCTTGAAAAGAACGTTGTGATTGAAAAGATTATTCCATGCTTTAAAGAATTAGTGATTGATACAAATCAGCATGTGAGATCAGCAGTTGCAACAAATATCAGTGGATTTGCTCCTATTTTAGAAAAAGAGCAGTAAAGTATTCATAGGCTATATACAAAATGATACTAAGTGTTTTATATAGAACAATTGAATACCTTTTACCCTTATTCCTCCAACTATTAAAAGATGATTTCCCTGAAGTACGACTCAATATTATCTCCAATCTAGAGGATGTCAATCAAGGTAAGAAAGAGAGAGAAACAATTAAAAGGAATAGAGATTAACATGTATTAGTTATTGGAGTTGATAGTCTCTCTCAATCACTTCTACCTGCCATTGTGGAATTAGCAGAAGATAAACAATGGCGAGTAAGATTAGCCATTATTCAGTACATTCCTCTATTAGCTTCACAACTAGGCATTGGATTTTTCGATGATAAACTACTCGATCTGTGCTTGTCCTGGTTGGGTGATACAGTCTTTTCTATTCGTGATGCAGCTACAACCAACCTCAAGAAGTTGGTAGAAATATTTGGATATGATTGGGCAAAAAATACCATTTTACCAAGAGTGAATGAAATGGCCCACAATGAAAACTATCTCTATCGTATGACTACTCTCTTTGCTCTCACTGTAAGTTGAATTGATTTATTGGCATCTCAGTCAAATAATGATCCCCTTTTAGACTATGGCTGTTTCTCTTACACCAGAGATTATCAAAGATAATGTGTTACCCACAGTGGTTGAACTTGTGAATGATCCTATTCCAAATGTCAGATTCAACGTGGCTAAATCTTTAGAAGTATTAGCACCTATTCTAAAGCAAAATCCTCAAACCGCTGAAGCTGTATCAACCAAGATCAATGATATTTTGCAACAATTAAGTCAAGATTCTGATGTAGATGTTAAATGGTTTGCAGAAAAGGCCATCTTGACAGGTAAAACCTATTACAACATGATTTAATTGAATAACGCTTTTTTCTTTATTATAGTACAAAGCTGCTAAATATAATAGAATACACTATTCAATCTTTATATTTAAGTCATTAAAGTTAACATGTATAATGCATTTCGATGATATACAAGTATTAAAAAACAGATTGAATCCATTTCTTAGTGAAGTTTTGGTTAAATTTTATCTACACGTCATCTGACGATATAACCTTGTCCGTAGTTGGCAAGTAGTGTTGTAAACGCTATCTTTTCTTACTACAATGAGGATTCTATAAGGCTATCTTTGGTTAATATACCTATCCTGCATAGTAGAATGGAAGTTGCTTTATGATAACGTTTCCTGACACAATAACCTTACACAGCTCTAACTAATATATGACGATAGTAAACTTTTACTATAATAGGCAGGCTTGTCTGTATTGAATCCATGACCTCGGTCAAAGCATAGATAATCTAGAAAAGAAAGAGAGGAGTTATTGAAATGCTTTTTATTAATACATGTCCTTAAATCCTAAGTTTTTTCCCCTTTCTATAATTCTTTATTGAACGTATGTTTTTCAAATGTGCTTTGGATTATTCTTGAAATTGTCTCCTTATACAGTGCTATAGTATACTTTCAAAATACGTGTATTCAACAATGCTTGTTTTCAGTAACTCCATACCTTTTTTCTTTGAGGTATCACAAACCCCAAGAGATAGTTTACAACCATGTCCTTGTGATGAACAAGAATAGTTTGTTGTATCGACACCAGCTACTGTGCTTGAATACACGAGAGCTTCCTTATATTGACTGTTTGAACTATTTATTGATTTATCTTTTATGAAAACACGCGACCAACTTCACTATCCCGTGCCGCTTTACATATGGCCAACTGGAGAGCTTAATCAACCAATCACAAATTCACTGTTTGGAAATTGTTTGTATTGCCAAAAGGGATATCAACAATGCATAAAAAAGTGTGTGTCATGTAGATACTTGTTGTAATCCATAGACTAATAAAGAAAAGAGTAATAGAAGGGTATTTGTAGATGAGTAAAGAATGATGACATTAAAATGTCTTTTCGGAACTACTCATTGCTTACAAGCCGAACTCTAGAAAAAACAAAGAAGACCATCTTATTTCAAAAGCACACAAACTTGGTCTATTTTTTATTCTATCCTAAAAATAGAAAACACAAACTTTGTTTTGTTATTGTTAATAGCAGAGAATGGATATAAAATAATAGTATAAAACGCTCCTTCTTTTCGCTTCTTTTCACTAATCTCGTATTCTTGGTTTCGTTTCTTTTGTTGTAATGAGAGGGATGCAAGGAAAATGGATGCTACTCTGCCTTACATTCCTGATATTTATTGCCAGGGCATGCTCAATGCCTACATCCCTAAACATTAATACTCCAACAAAGACAATTGACATTTCGAAAAGGGGCGAAACACCAACAGAGGATGATGATATTATAGATTATCATCATTCGATAACTAGTCGATCACCCAGTTCAACTCGTTCTAGTGCTTCCCCAACACAATCAGGTAGCAAGGATAGTAATGATGAAGACAATGGAAACAAAATCCAGACCACGGCCATTCCCGCATTGACACCAGAGTGGTACAGTAGGTATTCAATTCTCAATCCCTTTGCTCTTATGAATAATTCTTTTATAGCTACGGTCTATGGAAGTGAAAGTGGCATTACACCTCAAATGACTGCATTAGGCGCTATTCTTATTGTCTTGGGTATGTTTTTATGTATAATGGGCTTCCGCATGTTTAAACCAATGCTGTTTGTCATGGGACTATTAACCTTCGGGTCAATGACCTGGATCGCACTAGCCAATTGTAGACCATCAAATGGATACCTTAATGACCATATCACCATGATTGTGGTCCCTGCAGGGTTGGGTGTACTAGGAGCTGCGTTATATTTTCATTTCTGGTACATAACCATTTACCTTGTTGGAGGTAAAAGAAAACCGAAACGTATTCATACAATTGTTTATATCCTTTTTGTCAGCTTTTGGTGGGCTTGCTCTTGCGTCCTTTGTTTGCACGTGGAAGAGTAACCTTGTGGTCGAACACGTATGTAGTTCATTTTATAAATGGCAACTATAGTACAACATGTATTAATATAAAATAGTATATCGGTAGACCCTGTTTTTTAGCTGGCATGGCACTGGCAGCGGGAATCCTCACATTTTTTTCCGCACGTCCTCTGGTGTTCTTTTCTACGTCGTTCGTAGGCGCTTATTTTGTCATGTTGGGTGTTGATTGTCTAGCGAGAACAGGCTATATTGCTGGAGCTGAACTGCTGTACAATCGCAACCCTTCCCATTATATAGAATACTCTTTAACAAAGTATGTCTATGTCTTATTAGCCATGACGATTGTTTTATTCTTTATTTCTTTGGTATGGCAAATGCTTTACAATGCTGCTCATCAGCTTGGACTTCATGTAATAGCAGCAGTGAAAGGAACGACGGTAGAAGAAGAAGCAAAAGAAGAAGGGGACATGCCTGCTTCTATTCACCCCCCTCATTCGCCTCCACCTCCCTCTCATCTTCCTCCACCTTCTCATGCACCATCTGTTCATCACACCTAAAGCTTAAAACATGACTGTTACCCTTCTTCATTTGTATATTGAGAATAATAAAATAAACTTTTGGTAATACTCGTTCTATCAACATATATAGTTACAGTAGGTATTATACAGGGAGTAATTTATTTATATATAGCAATATACAGTAAAATAATTATATGCGCGATAAGATCATGATCTACGTCTCCTCTCTTGTTCTCTTTCCCAGTCTCTTGCTTGAGCACTAGGGTTTTGACTAAATGCAGAATATGCTTCAGCAGCAAGCCGAGAGCTCCATGGTGTGGCCAGTGTCATGTAGTTCAGTCCAAACATAGCGCCTGAGACCTTGCAGCTCCATACGACCTCGCCCGTTTGTGCTCGTAAACAGTACACCCACTTTCCTGCTCCGACATATACAAGTTGTTCAGGTCGTCCATGCTCTAAACTGGGTGGCTCTATAATCGAAACAGGTATATTGTACCAGCCGCCTGGGCAATTGTATCTCCACATCTCTTCGCCACTGTAGCTATCAATAGCCATGATTTTACCTTTTGAGGCTGCCAGGATGATGGGTCTTCCCAGGTTAGATGGTTCGTTATATCCAGGTGGTTCAACGCTTTGGAATCCTTCCCTGGGAGATAAAAATCGACTAGGTGTACTGATCACTGAGACCTCAGAGTATCCAAATCCAGGCATCTTATTCACCCACAATGTCTCCCCTGTCATCAGATCTAAGCAGGCGGTTTTACCATTTGCACCAGCGATCAGTTTATCATAGTCCGTAACAAAGAGTGCGACTATACCACCTGACGCGCCCGTTGGGAATTTTGAGCTCCAGAGTCTAGTACCATCTCTCTTATGTATAGCATATATCTTTCCATGGGTAGCGCAGATCAGGATATCATCACGTTGGAACTGCACTGATTCAGATAAACGAATGGAGCTCTTGTCAGATTCGTCATCGCCCTTGACTTTTTTATCTGTAAATAAAGTCATTTTGAGTTGATTATTTGTTTATTATTTCAGAAAAGAAAAAGAAAAAGAAAGGTGATTTAATCTTTTATAATGAATCGTACATGCATTGGTCAAATAAGCGGAGTTATTAATTTCCTCGTGTGCTCAGCAACTTGACCTGCTGAGCACAAAGATCTACACTTGTACAAAACCACCAACAAAATGGCTCAAGACGGAATACTCCCTGTTGGCAGAGTAGGATTTCCTTTGGAGCAGATCAACCAAAGATGCTAAGCTTTCATGTTACACAGATCAATACTTTCTTTAATATGAGGTTTTTAAATTCACGCTTTTCTTTTTCTTACTGATAGAATCTGACAGGCTTCATGCCTGTCTGAAATCAGTTAATCAACCTTGGTATTACCCCAGTAAACAAGCGTTGATGAAGCGTGTGTAAATCTTAGGTTTACAGTTGATTAAAGATATCAGTCGCTAAGTACGAAGACTAGTGAAGTCACCTTTCTTAGTCAGAAAGCGCACTTTCAATTCTTGCCATGATTTAGGGAACATCTGTGCCTGATGAACTTGGTTAAACACTTGTACAGTTAACTCTTGAAGAGGTGGTAGTGGAATAATTGGTAAAGGAGGCCATATCCTTACATCGGCGCCCGTATTAATAACTTTCGATTCCACGCTTGCTGTCTGTTGGATAGTACGTCGCCGTCTTCATCGCACAGCCGAGGTAAATGATTAAGACTGGAGAGGTATTCTGTTATCTCTACATCTTTCGCTGAATCAACGAAGTATAGTGTTTGGTAAAGCTGTTGAGCAATAGATAATAAATTATCAATGCTCTTGGTAAGAGCAGAGGTATCATGTGGACAGAACATCGCGCTGATCTCCCGTAAGGCATAGGGGCTCTGGTAGGTGGGTCAGAAGTTGTTCTAGGGCTAGTTCATCCATGGGATCAGGTGAATGCAGCTAGGTGTAGCAATATTCAGCGGTGTTCTGTTTGCTTGCTTGATAGAAACATGG